CTCTTTGGCAGGTGAGTTCTCTCTCCCAGCTGCGCCATCGCGTCCCTGGTGTCCTGGGGCCTGTGGGGACGGTGCTGGGGGGGCTGCAGGGCCAGGAGAGGAGCAGTTGGGTGTCCCACCTGGAGAGGTGGGGCCCTCCCTGGCCACCGGTGGTTCCAGAGGGCACCCTGGGGTCCCCCCCAGCTAACCCACCAGAGAGGCGCCTTGCAGGGCCCGGTGTGTCCTGACCTGGCAGAGGTTGGTCAGACTCAGGATCTCACGGCTGCAGCCGCTGCAGAGCCCCCCAGTTGGGGGGATGGCGAGGGGCCCCGGCTGCTGGGGGCGATGGGGGCTGCTGAGCTGTGGTGCCCAGCAAGGGCCAGGGCAGGGAGCGACCGCCGCGCTCTGCTTTCCTGGGGGAGCCCCCCGGCCGTGGGCAGGTGCCCGTCAGCGCCGGGTGCTGCCCGCTGGCTGTTGCAGGCTGAACCGGGCGCTGCGGCACGAGCAGGGCTTCGCCGACCGCTTCCTCCCCGACGACGAGGCGGCCCGGGCCTTGGGCAGGACGTGCTGGGAGGCCCTGGTGAACCCCTTGGTGCAGAGCATCACCAGCCCAGGTACCCCGCGCTCTCCCGGGCCCCTGGGCGCCGTGCCCCAGGCTGAGGCACCCGGCTCTGAGTCCATCTGGCCCCACAGACCCCCATGGCGTCAGCCCCCTGTCCTGGCTGCTGAGCGAGTACCTGGAGAGCCAGGAGCCGTCGAGCCGCCCCGTGAGCCGCGGCGCCGCCTTCGGTTCCCGTGTGCGGCGCCTGACCCAGCTCCTGGTGCACGTGGACCCCGGTGTCCCAGAGGCAGAGGAGGCAAGAGCAGCCGGTGAGCGAGGGGCTGCCCTCCCGTGGGGCTGGGGGCGGTGGTCCAGAGGGCCAGGGCTGCAGCCGTGGGGGAGGCCCGTGCACAGAAGGCTCCGGGGCTGGGGAACATTCACGGCCGTCCCTCCGGCGCCGCGGTTCCTCCCCGGCATCTCCTCTGCCCTGCGCCCCCCAGGGCGAGGGGGAGGCTGTTGGTGGTCGGGGTGCAGACCCTGCCCACAGAGCCCCCTGAGCCCAGGGTTGTCCCTTGGCAGGCGGGAAGGAGGGGAAGAACAAGGAGGTGCCATCCAGAGCTGCGAAGGCGGCGGTGGAGAAGTCGAGCGGCCTGTGGGGCATCTCGCAGTGCTGGCGCGGCGTGGTGCAGCAGCAGGTAGAGCCTGGGGGGCCGGCTGGGGGGGCCAGAGGGGGCATGTGGGACCCTGCACGGGAGCCTGGGGAGGGCATGGGGCCGTACCTGGTGTCAGCAGAGTGAGGCTGGGGCTGTGGATGTTCCTGGGAGACACACACAGGTGTGTCCCGCTGTGGGGCTCTCACCCTCGGGTGCTGCCTCCCGCTGTGGGGCTCTCACCCCTCGGGTGCTGCCTCCCTCTGTGGGGCTCTCACCCCTCGGGTGCTGCCTCCCGCTGTGGGGCTCTCACCCCTCGGGTGCTGCCTCCCGCTGTGGGGCTCTCACCCCTCAGGTGCTGCCTCTCTCTGTGGGGCTCTCACCCTCGGGTGCTGCCTCCCTCTGTGGGGCTCTCACCCTCGGGTGCTGCCTCCCTCCCGCAGGTGCAGCGGTTCCTGGAGGCGGCAGGGCAGGCACCGGACCTCGTGGAGCGATACTGCGGGCTGTACCAGCGCCTGCGCGGCGCCACGGAGGAGCTCTTTGGGCAGCAGGCCGCCTTCGTGCTGGCCCTGGGCCAGGGCTTCGCGGGGGCTTTGCTGCAGCTCTCCTTCCTTGCCACCCTGCACGTGAGTCGAGGGAGCGTGGCACCGGCACCGGGGTTGTGCCCTCAGCGGGCTGGGGAGGTTGCTCTGGCCCCCAGCCGCGGGGCAAGCTCTGGGTGGGTGGTCGTTCTCCCCCTGGGCCACTGAGCCCTGCCCTGCGGTGGCCCTGCCCTGCGGTGGCCCTGCCCGGTGCCCGACTGCCGCTGTGCCGTGCTTGTCATGGCGTGGCCCCAGCCCTGGCGCGCTCTGGCCTTGGGCTGGTGTCTGGGCACCCCCTGCCCGAGAGCCCCAGGGTTTGCCCCCCAGGGAGGTTGTGGCCACCCCGTGTCCCCCCTCCTTAGCCAGCTCTGTCCCTCTGCAGGTGAGCGAGCAGTTTGCCCGTTACCTTGACGGGCAGATCCAGGAGCTCCACGGGGCCGGGGGCAGCGCGGGGCCGCTGCAGCGGCTGCAGCAGATCCTGGAGCCCTTCGTCGTCTTCAGTGGCCTGGAGCTGGCCCACACCTTCGAGCACTTCTACCGGTGAGGGGGGCTGTGTCCCCACGGGGCGCTGCCAGGCCGTGTGCCTGGGGGTGTCTCTGTCTCCTGGCGGGCGGCTGGTGGCCACGGGGCTCGGGCCGGCCCCTGACCCGCTGCTGGTGGCCGTGGCAGGCACTACCTGGGTGACCGGCTGCTGGCGCAAGGGCCGTCCTGGCTGGAGGGAGCCATCGTGGAGCAGATCGGGCTGTGCTTCCCCAGCCGCTTCCCCCAGCAGATGCTGAGCAACTTGGCGGAGTCGGAGGAGCTCCAGCAGCAGTTTCACCTCTTCCAGCTGCAGGAGCAGGACAGGCGGCTTCTGGAGCTGGAGCCGGGCCTGGAGGAGGTGAGGGTGCCGGTGGGGTGGGGAGGCCGGGGGCCGCCCGCGTTCCCTGCGGGGCTCCCGGGCCCTGTCCTGAGCCCCCCTCGTGTCCCCGTGCCCAGGCGCCGGCCCCGGTGGCGGATGTGCCGGAGGTGAAGGTGCTGGCCCTGTCCCCGCGCTGCTGGCCCGTGTCCCCCTTCTGCTACATGGAGGACCCCGGGAGGTTTTTCCCCGCGGCCCTGAGCTCCCCCCTGGAGGAGTTTGCCGAGTTCTGCCGGCGGAGTGAGTGTGGGGGCAGGGGGTGTGCGTGGTGAGGGGGGGGTCTGGCTGGGGCCGACCCCTGGGCAGCAGCTCGGGTGGGAGCACCAGGGGGTGCTGGGGGTGCCCGTCGGAGCTGGCCCCTGGCCCCTGGGGTGACGCTGCCTCTGTCAGGCCAGAGCCAGCTGGGCTGGGAGTGCAGGAAGCCCCGGCGGTTGCAGTGGACGTGGCTGGGCCGTGCTGAGCTGCAGTTCGGAGACTGCGTCCTGCAGGTGTCCACGCTGCAGATGTACATCCTGCTGTGCTTCAACAGCGCCGAGGTAGGAGCTGGGGCCGCGCTGGGGCGAGGGAGGCGGCGGATCTGGGGCTGCTGAAGGGGTTGAAGCTGTGGCAGGGCCACGTCCTCCCTTGGGTGAGGTCTGCCCTGGTGGTTGGGGCACGGCCCCCCCGTGGTCTTGGCTGCCATTCCCCTCCCCTGCCCTCCCGCAGGAGGTGGCTGTGGAGGCCCTGCTGCAGGCTACGGGGCTCCCCGCTGACCTGGTGCACCACGCGCTGACACCGCTGACCCACGGCGAGGGCATCCTGGTGTGGAGATGCCCCCCGGGAGGTGAGCGTGGGGCCGGGGAGGTGCTGGGGTCGGGGTGCGTGTGGGGCGGGGGGAGTCTGTCTGTGGGTGCTGGGGGCGCAGGTCCGTGTGTCAGTGTGGGGCCCGGGGCCGTGCGTGGGGCTGGGGGTGGCGTCTGGGGTCAGCGTGGGTGGCCGGGTCTCAGGTCCGTGTGTGGGGTTGTGCGTGTGGCTGTCGCTGGGGGCCGTGTGTGGGACACGGGGCTGGGGCTGCGAGGGCAGCGGCGGGAGGCCCAGGGTCGGTCCAGCAGCCACACGTGTGTCCTGGGGCTCCCTCAGGGCCCAGCTCGGGGCTCGGCTGACCCTGGGCCGGGTGCTAGCTCCAGGTGTGCTGCGGCTGAACCAGGCAGCCCTGGCCCACGCCTCCGGCCGCCCCCTGAGGCTGCTGCCCCGGCAGAGGTACCTGCGGGCAGAGAGGGCTGAAGTCAGCGCCCTGGAAAGGAAGAGGAACGTCCTCTGCTGCCTCATCACCCGCATCCTCAAGGCGGAGAAGCAGCTTCACATCGACAACCTGGTGTTCAGGGTATGGAGGGCTCGCGGGGCAGAGAGGGGCCGCCCGGGTGCCGCGCCGCACTGCAACGAGGGGCTGCTTTGCTGCCGTAGGTGATCGATGCCTGTCAGAAGGGCCAGTTGGGACCAGGGCTGCAGTTCCTGAGCTTCTGCTGCCACAGCGTGGACGTGCTGTCTTGTGTCCTGCACCTGCTGAACCAGGGCTATCTCCGGCGCCAGGAGGAGAGGCCTCACGTCTTGGAATACATCTCTGCTGAACCCACTACACCCCCTACCTCTCAGGTCCAGCCCCAGGTTGCCTTCCAGACTGTAGAGATCAAGACAGCAGCAAACCCAGCTTCTGCTGAAAGGAGACAGACTTTCTCCACCTTCAGATAGACAAGGGTCCAGCTGGGCTGGTATGACACAGCTGGGTCCAGTCTGGCTTTTCCTAAGTGCTTGCGGGTTTTTATTTTAAATAAAGAAGCCAAGCTCCACCCCGTCCCAGTTGGTAGTCTTTCGGAGAGCTCAGCTGGCCCGTGGCTGGGAGGGTGGCCTGGTGATGCCACTGGTTGCTGTGCCCAGGCCACCCTGACAGCTGTGCTGGCTGGAGAGGTGGCCCTCGCTGTCCCCTGCCACTATTTGTTCTCCCCCAGCCATGCTCAAGCATGGAGGGACACACACACACACACACCTCCCTGCCATAATGGTACCAGCATTAATTTATTAAAATTAATCCCGAAAAGTAACCGTACAATAAATTTAAAAAAAATAGAATCTTGTAAAAAAAAAACCCCGGGGTGCCCCAAAATGCCACACCTCCAGCTGGCAGCACCGTGGGGCAGGGCTGGTTGGGAAGGGATGGGGAGATGAGTGGGGGGGGATGTGTGTGTGGTGGGGTGGGGGGGACAGCCTCAGCAGCGTTCGGCCAGCCTCAGCAGCAGGGCTGCAGGGGGGGGACTAGAAAAGCTGCTGAGGCTCAGCCCTGCAGGGCAGGGCCAGGCACAGCAGCTGTGGGGCTGGCAGTGGGGCTGGCGAGGGGTGGTGGGCCCTGCTCCCCCCACACTTGCCCCCCCACACCACCACCACCACCACGAGCAATCCTGCTGGCTCCAAGCTCTGGGGAACCCCTGCCTGGGCCCAGCCCAGCTGGGGCCCCGGCTGGTCGGGCGCATCCGAGGAGAGCGGGGTCCAGAAACCCTTTTTGGGTGCCTGCTGGCCGGTGCCAACCCTTCTCCCAGGCTGCTGTTGTTGTGGGGGCAGGGGGGGGTCACAGGAGGCGGGTGGCACGGTGCCCTGGCTGGTGTCGGAGGGTGCACGGACCCGGTCTCGCTGGCCTCACCTTCACGGGTCTTGGCCCACAGGGAGCGGTGCGAGTGTGGTATCACCCTCTGCGTGGTGGGCAGGGGGTTAGGGCCGCAGAAGAGAGGGGACAAGAGCATCGCCGTCGCTCGGTCTCCCTGTCTCCTCCTGCCACCCTCCGCAGCTCCAGCCCAGGGCTACCCCCCCCAAATTTCCCCCCCAGCATCTCACACGCTCTTTGAGTAGCCAAAGATGCCCACAGGGAGGTACTTGACGTGCGTTGGCCACTGTGCCGCCAGCTGGAAAAACTTCACATCGTTCCATTCCACCCCATCTATGGAGACTGAGAGGAGAGGGCGCAGTGAGGCACAGCCCTGCCCCACGGAGCCCTG